CCTCTGTGCTGTCCTTGAGTCCAGCTTTTTCCAGCCATTGGTAGGATTTACTGATATCAGCCACTTGGGTTATTTGCTGGTGGTACATCCCATGTAGGGGCTTGTCCTCCCATGATGGTATCTCTGGCACCTCAACCTCCGTTCCCTGTTGTCTGAGACATTCGCTGAGCACATTGTCTGTTGAGGCTTTGTCCCTGATGTATTTATGGATCTTAGTTGTTTCGTCCTGGACAGTGGTTCTCACACTCACTAGTCCTCTGCCTCCTTCCTTGCGGCTCGTGTACAGTCTCAGGGTGCTGGATTTGGGATGGAACCCTCCATGCATGGTTAGTAGCTTTCTAGTCTTAATATCTGTGGCTTTTATCTCCTCCTTTGGCCAGCTAATTATTCCAGCAGGGTATCTGATTACTGGCACGGCATAGCTGTTTATCGCACGGATTTTGTTCTTGCCATTGAGCTGGCTTCTCAGGACTTGCCTTATTCGTTGGAGGTATTTAGCTGTGGCTCCTTTCCTTGTGGCCTCATCGAGGTTGCCATTTGCTTGTGGTATACCTAGGTACTTGTAACTGTCCTCTATGTCTGCTATTGTTCCTTGTGGGAGTGAGACTCCTTCTGTGCGGATCACCTTCCCCCTCTTTGTGATCAGCCGACCACACTTCTCTAGTCCGAATGACATCCCAATGTCAGTGCTGTAGATCCTGGTGGTGTGGATCAGTGAGTCGATGTCTCGCTCACTCTTGGCATACAGCTTGATGTCATCCATGTAGAGGAGGTGACTGATGTTGGCCCCATTTTTGAGTCGGTATCCGTAGCCAGTCTTGTTGATAATTTGGCTGAGGGGGTTCAGGCCTATGCAGAACAGTAGCGGGGACAGAGCATCTCCTTGGTATATGCCACATTTGATGGACACTTGTGCAAGTGGTTTGCAGTTGGCTTCAAGGGTAGTTTTCCACAGCTTCATCGAGTTTGCAATGAAGGCTCTCAGAATCCTGTTGATGTTATACATCTCTAGGCATTCAATGATCCAAGTATGCGGCATTGAGTCATAGGCTTTCTTGTAATCGATCCAAGCCATGCACAGGTTTGTGTGTCGGGCTTTGCAGTCTCGGGCAACTGTGTGGTCTACGAGGAGTTGGTGTTTGGCTCCTCTGGTATTTACACCGATACCCTTCTATGCCGTGCTCATGTGTTTATCCATGTGTTTGCTTATCTTGGCCGCTATGATGCCTGACATGAGCTTCCAGGTTGTGGAGAGGCAGGTTATTGGTCGGTAGTTGGGTGGGACTGGACCCTTTGATGGATCCTTCTGGATTAGGATTGTCCGCCCTTCAGTTAACCATTCAGGGTGAGTCCCACTTTGTAGCAGCTGGTTCATTTGGGCTGCCAGTCGCTCATGGAGAGCAGTGAGTTTCTTTAGCCAGTAGGCATGGATCATGTCAGGCCCTGGTGCTGTCCAGTTTTTCATGCCTGAGACTCTTTCTTGAACATCTATCACAGTGATGGTTACCGGGGCTTGCTCAGGGAGGTTGCTGTGGTCCTCTCGTAGAGAGATCAGCCACTGTGCATTGCTGTTGTGGGACGCCTCCCTTTCCCATATGCCTTTCCAGTATTGTTCAGTCTCCAGCCTTGGTGGGTCTGCTCTGTTGTTATTACCCTGCCATTGAGAGTACACCTTAGCTGGTTGAGTGGAGAAGAGCCGGTTAATCCTTCTGGATTCATTCTCCCTTGTGTATCTCTTTAGGCGGCTGGCCAAGGCTTGAAGCCTCTGTTTGGCAGTTTCAAGTGCTTCAGGTATGGGCATCTGCCTGTACTTTCTGGGTACTGGTCTTTTCATTGTACCCTTGTGGAGCTCTGACAGTTGGCTCACTTCCCTCCTTGTTACCTTGATTTTAGCCTCTAACCTTGGGGCAGTAACCCCCAAACTGGAGCAGTGGCTACAACAGATCCCAGGAACAACATCAGACATCTCAGTCCAGAAATGTGCAGTCCTTGGCACAGCCAAGATACTGCGCAGAACCCTCAAGCTCCCAGGCCTCTGGTAGAGGACCCGAGCTCAGAGGATAAGAACCACCCGCGGTGGGTGAGAAGGGAATTTATATATATATATATATATATATATATATATATATATATATAATATATATATATATATATATATATATATAAAGTTTGATATATAAGGAAGTTTGATATATAAAAATTCTTATATCAAACTTAAACAAGTTTGATATATAAAATCAGTACGGTTCCTGTAGTTGCTTGGCATCAAATCAATACCAAAATATGCAGTATCACACACATCTAAAACCATGCAGTTGAAGCAGATCTGTGTTACACTACATACTACATGTCTACTTTTAGTGTGGTTGTGGAGATCTGTAAGTCAGCCACTATCCTCAGCAGTCCTTCAACATTTGCTCGGACATTTGCTCTTGCCTGACTTCAGCAACAGTGACTAAACACTTTTATATTTTTAATAAGGTCTTCATGTTCAAATCAGACATTCTGCAAAATATGTATGTCTAATCCTGGAAGCAAAATAAAGATCACCATTTATTTTTTTTTTTCTTAAAATCATGATTTGTGTTTCTACAATAGTTAATTGAAATGTATGTATTTATCTGCACTGCCTTCAAAGGTTGCAGTTTTTATTTTGTTGTAGTTTCTTGCACAATATCAAAAGATTCTTATTATTCTTATTCTGATGATGCACCAAAATGTGGCAGTCTTGTGTACTTTTTCACATGACAACAAATATTTAGAAGAGATTGCCCTTGCTGCAAGAGAGCAAAATAACACCCTTTTGGCCTCCACAAAGTGTGTTTCACACATAGAGCATTTCAGTTCAATGGAACAGCCGATGGATGCAATGTTTAAGGAGATTGTGCTGTCTGAAAAAGGTCAGGAGAGAAAATGACATCTCTATGGATAATTTTCATTTTTAACGCTGCAACTGTCATGTTACATGGACAACGAAACACTTTTAGCTCCTGTTTTGCCTGCTGCTCATTCTTGGGCTTTAGGATTATGTCACTGACATAGCCAGGTGGTGTAACTGCTTGCTGTACCTTGATGGGCTGGTGTGTGTGAAGACAACCACCCAGAATAAAGGCATGGAAGCACACCAGCCTGGATTTTGTCATCTGCATCTGACGTTTGCTGCCACCTCCACTTTGAAACATGGAGGTGCAGCATCATGCTGAACAGAATGATAAAACTATTCATCAGAATTGATGGGGATATGGGATTAAAACCGTTAAGTGTGGAGAAGTGGTTTAGATCAGAACATGTTCAGTACTGATCTTGTGACATCACAATAAAAATAAAGTATCGTGAAAAAAAATGATAACCACAGAGAATAAAACATAAATTAATAAAATACAAATACATTGTTTGTATTAGTATATGCACAACAAGGTCTTGTATGTATTTGTTTTGTGTATAAAAGTCCACGGAGGAAAAATATCTGGGTCACAACGTTTACCCGAACTTATAAAAAGAGTTCCTCTCCACAGGTTGGAGGGGAAGGGGCTGTGCAGGTGCACGGTGCGAGGAAAATGTCTGGAGCTCCAGAGAATAGCACGGAGAAGCATTTTCTTTGTTTGTTGGGGGAAAGTTTGACCCAATGCTGAAGTAATTAAAAGGACTTCTGGATGTAAAATGAAGGCCACACGGGGCAAGGACCCGATACCTGGAGCGACTGGGGCAAAGGACGCACCAGGCCAGACGAAGGAGACCGCCCATGTATACACTTTGCCGACCCAGTGAGATGTTTCCATATTTTACTATAATTTTTGGACAAAGACTGATGAAATGTTTAAGCCCCAACGGCAATTTTTTTTTGGGTGCCAACGGCAATTTTTTGTGGGTGCACGGATCCTTATTTTTTAGCGCATTAATGCTGACATTTCGTTGGACAATTATTATTCTAAGGTCTCATTTTGTTTTGTTTTAGAGACTGTTTTAATAAGGTAAATAAGGGTGTTGTTTATTTGTAAAGAAACACAAGAGTGACGGAAATAATACGGAGAATCCAGTGGAGCAGCTGATTTTTGTTTAGTAAGTAGCGTGCCACTCCCATCCGCATTCTTAAACTGACGTGTCCGATTGTTTTTTTTTGTTTTTGTTTATTACATTCACGTCATTCTTTCTAGTTTTCATGACAAAAGGCAACAAACATACTAATTTCTAAATATTTATAAAATAATTCAAAGAACTGCCTTGAGTGTGTACAATCTTTTGTTTAGATGGAGATTCGTTACAACCGAAACCCTGCAAACAGTCTGTACCATGACTTTAATATTAATATTCACCAAACAAATCTCAGCTTCAGCAATATTTTCCACAATGGTGGGGGTACAAAGTATTCACTCTGAGGGGCTGAATATAAACGTTCAGTACAGTCCAGGAAGAACAGATTTTTATTTATTACATTTAATTTTTCTCACAGTTACGCACTCCTTTGTTCACATCTATCAGTTAAAATGTTTACATTTTTTTATGTTTGTAAAAAAAAAATGTTGAGGTATGTGATATTGCATACTTTGGTATGGATCTGATACCATGGAAATATTTGGCCAGTATCACCAATATTTAAATTTGTTATATAATTAATGACCTTTAAATGTTTTTGTGGTTTTTACTTGGAATTATTTTGTTCAAACCTTGGGCAGAATATGGACAAAGTTGATTGGCATCTATAAAATATAATGATAACACATTAACATGAGTTGTGTGTTTTTTCCAAATAAAGTGCAAAAAATCACCATCTGAGACCAAATAAAAAATATTGAGGTAGAGTTAAGAAACTATAATACAAAAGAAAATGGAATCTGAAATTAAAGTATTAATTTTAACACACTTATATTGATCAAATATTGATACTTTATTGATTTAATTGATATCTTGGATCGATCCGCCCACCTCATGGAAACAGAAAAGTTTTAGAGGTCTGAACACTTTAGCAAGGCACTTTTATCATCAGGGAGCAGACATAAAGATTCATTATATAGATATGCTTTTATTAGAAATAAGACACATTCATATTGTGCTCTGAAAACTGTACATCAACAAAAAAGCAGTACTGGCAAAATAAAAGGGATCAGGGGGTTGCATGACATGGGGATTGGGGGTGAAGTACGGATGACTTCATGGTATTATGAAGGGCAGGGCAACAGACAAACACAGATCTGAATGACTCAGTAGTGATATCAAAACACACAGTTACATAGCGATACAGAACACTTGTAGTCTGGTACCCTGATGAGTCAGGGGAGAGGGTAGTGGGTAGTGGGGCTGCTGGGGGGGCAGAGAGAGGGTAGTGGGTGGTGGGGGTGCAGAGAGAGGGGGGCTTATCAGTATCAGAATAATCATGTTCATATTTATAATAATGAGAACAACTATCCTCAAGCACAGTAAGAAAGATATTTATAGGCTAAAATCCATTCTGTAGAACTCTGTCAAAATAATAACAATGCTATACATCAGAACTCCAGGTGAGTCTTGTGCTTTCCCTCTGTGCAGCCTGCACACACACGTACACACACACACACTGCCGGATGACCTCATTGGACATCATCGTTGACCAATGAGTCAGATATAAGTATGGCCGCGTACTCCTAATGCGGTTCTCAGGGCACACACACACAGGGTCCTTTCGGTTCACTTTTCCAGTCTACCAACATGTTGAGCTTTGTTCTTCTCAGGGTGTCTTTACTTTATGAACCCCAAGTAGCTGGGTTCCCACTGGATGATACGGGTCAACCAGAGCCAGCAGCCCATACATGCCCCACCCATACCACAGTCTCTGAACTCTCCCTACTTTTTGTCCCCCATCAGGGGGACAAAAAGTCCTGTTGACCGTGGCATGCTCCAATCACTGTGCCTGGATCGGTACTGAGGAGCGGGTCAGATCCAGTCCTGGTCCTTAAACCCAGCTTAGTGTCACTGAGGCAACTGAAGCTGAGCTTAACATCAGCCTCCATCAGGACAGCCTCGATTTTAGCCAAGAGACACATCAAGATTATTACATGGTAACAGTTGAATACAGGGGGAGCATAACTATGCTGTTTAGAACATCTGGATAATGCACACGTAGAAGCACTTAGTCTCTTGTTATGAGTCACCTGACAGTTGTCCAGACAGTCCACTTTTCTGCCACATTAAAGTATCAAATGAAACAAAAAAGAGACATCATGTTCCTCTTTGCTCGAAACTCCAATTTCCAACCTTGTCCCCTCCTCCAATTTATGTCCAGTAGCATCCTGGCAGAGGACTCTACTTCATTTTGCACTGACCATGGCAAAGTGCGTGGGTGTGCGTGTGTGTGTGAGTGTGCGTGGTGACAGCACTGAAAATGGCAGGGAGCTGCGGGATGTGAGGCCCTGGTCAGAGGTCACACTTCCGTCTGCAGGTCCATGATCTCCTGGCCCACCAGGGGGATGGTGGCGCTGTTCTTCTCCCACTCTACCGTCTGCAGCTCCAAGGGTGACACAACCACCGCTTCCAGTTCCTTCCTCACCCAGGATGGGGGTGAGTGAGGTTTGCGAATGCCCTCCCATGCCCTTTTACTGGGAGTCTGCTGCTTGTCCTGCAGAAAAGGACACAATGAGAGAACCCACCTTTTTTTATTTGAGTTTTGTTTTATTTCAGAAACATTTGAATCAAGCAGAAGTGGCCAACTCCAGTGCCCCAGACCTGGCATCCTGCATGTTTCAGATGTGACTATTTTGTAGCATAGTTAAAGTAATGACTGAATCTGGTTCTCAGCATGTCATAAGGTGCTGTAGATGAATCACTCATTTGGTTCAGGCAGGTTGTCGGCTCCTGTACACTGATGGTGGCCTGAAAGTTACTTCATCATATAAACTCAATATAAACTACATCAATTTAAGGTTTCTACTTTAATTCTTATGTAAAGTGCAAGAAGACTGAATGGATTTCTTCAGTTTTTGCTTTTTGTAACTAAATGTTTCAGATCATTTCACAAATTTTACCATCGGACAAAGGTAACCTTTCAGAAATGAAAAAAACATTTGCAAATCATTTTATTTATTAAAGAAAAATTAACGTCTACACCAACCTAGGGCAATATATTGTGGACTATAGAAATTCAATAACATCTATCAATTTGGAAAGCCGTTTGTAACGGTTCAGGATTCCAGAGAACCTCAGTGAGATTGGCTAAGAGAGCAGAGAGGAGGCTAGAGCAGCAACTCGTCCAGCAGGTCTCACATGCTATTGCTTTTACAAATTAGTCGCAATCAACACATATTATGACTTTATTTCTTTTCTTATAATAACCCCAATTAAATACTTCTGATGAAAGGGAACACAAAGGCCCGTCTCACAACTTCCAAAAACCCTTTTGATTTTCTCGCAGACTTTTAGGGCAGCTCTATGGAGGGACAAAATTAAAGTGGAATTATTTTTCTTTTTTTTGGGAGATTTGAGTAATCATTTTTGGAACAGTGGTTTTCACAAATACCACTGTTCCAAATGGTGGAACAACTAGTTCTTAATTTGTTTTCACAAATACCAAGGTTGGTTTTTATATGAAATTTTACTTTTTTCCGCAATAAAAAAAAAAAAAAATCAGAAAACAGGATTATATTTTTTTAACTCAGATTGTCTTTGACTGCAAGGAAGCAAAAACAGAAGAAATCTATTAAAAGGCAAATACTTTTCACAGCACCATAAACTCATTTAGCAATACCTTCAGACAGGGTAATAAATGTATCTTATCTTAATGAAAATGGTGGTTATGGAAATTAGAGCTATATTTTTGCCAAAAATAAAAAATAAAAACATTTTTTACAGTGAATCAACTAAAATATGAATAATAAGAAAAGCATATGTGCCTTCCAGTAAAGGAGCTCAATGCAAGCATGAAGTGGCATGAATGTCCCCCCCCCCCCCCCCCCCTCCAAACCTCTTTTTTCCTTGTAGAATCAATTCAACGAAATTCTACAAGTGACATAATAAATTGGTTGATAATGAAACAGGAGAAGCAAAGAGGCAGTGCTGGTTGTTTGGCTGCTGGTGACATTAAGCATAATGATCATGGGCTCCTTGCAGGTTTGTAGAGCCCTAAAAACTCAGGGCGGCAGTGGGGTCACAGTTTAACACATCAGTTCCACATCAAATATAAGAATGCATAATATGTTATTTTGATTTTCATATTTGATAGCCACATAAGTTGTACCAGGTGACAGAACACCAAAATTTTACAAACAATTTGGGTTGACAGCTGAGGTAAATATAGACATACTGCTGCAGGTCTTCTATAAGTCTGTTGTTGAGATTATGTGTAGAGATATCAAACATGACATTATGACCCTCCTGTTAGTGTGTTGGAGCAACTCTGTGGTGAACTCTGCTGATGCTAGCAGGAGATCTTTAAAGCTCTGGGAGAGGATCGGCGTGGGATGTTGTTTGTCTATAACATCCCACAGAGGCTGAGTTGGCCCAAGATCATAATGTCCTGATATTCTGACACCTCTCTGTCAGAATCTTCTTTAATACTCTGAGCTACACTCCCTCAACTGGGCATACATGGCCAGCCTTCATTCCTCATGTGCCTCAATGGACCTTCATGAAGCTCCATGAATTGTCTTTAGGAGATATTGCACACTGCAGAACACGGACACCACACAACATCTGCAGGTTAGGAAATGTAGTCGTGATCTGCTCCCTTTCAAACTTGCTCACATACTCATGATGTTTTTCCTGCCCTAATGATTGGGGAAGGTTGTACATTTCAGGAGGAGCAGGGCTAGACCAAACCCTACTTCCAAGTGGAGGTGGTTAACAAATAAAAATACCTCCAAGCTGTTATCTGGACAACAGACTAGACTGTAGATGCAATACTAAAGCCTCTGTAAGAAGTACTGCTCTGTAAGAGCAGACTGGACTTCTTGAGGAAGCAAAGATCCTTCAAGGTTTGCAGCAAGATGCTGCAGGTCTTCTATAAGTCTGTTGTTGAGATTATCATCTCTTCATCCATCATGTGTTGGGACAGCAGCATCAGAATCAGGGATATAAAAAGGATCAAGAGCTTGACAAAAAAGACTGATTCTGTTCTGGGGACAACTGTGGAACCTCTACAGATGATGATGCAAAGAAGGATCTCACATAAAATCAAGACAATTATCCCGGACCAATCCTCTCAGTCAGAGGTTTTTAACAGACTGCTACAGGATATCTTTCCTGCCATTGAAGACAGCCATCACTGTCTTCAATATCTCTTTGAATAATTTTTATTAATACGAGTTACACCAACTTTTATTTTCCTTTTGGAAGTAATAAAGAATTTGAATTTGAAAGTCTACTTGCCACAAAGCTTTTATTATGAGATATTTAGTGTCCATTCTTCAGTTTTATGTTATGCCTCATTCCTATATGGTCTTAAGGGCTACTTTTAGCAGAGTGATGCAGTTATTTTTAATCTTATGTTGCTAGTCTCAAGTTAAAAATAAAGCAAATCTGTGAATCTTTGAGAAAATTGGTATGAAAAAGAATTGAATCTATTTATCAGTAATTGTATAAAATGAAAAATAACAAACATCCCCTATAAGAATCCAGAAAGAAAGATTCAACGAAATTGGGCATATATAAGGCTGTTGCAATAAAGAATTGATTAATTGTATAATAAAATAAGGTCAATAATTTTCATTTTGTGGATTAATATTTTTGAATATTTTTGAAAGGAAATTATTTTACAAAAACATGAATCGATTTTATTTATGGCTTTGGTTGTGTGTTGTTTGTACCACATTTATATTTATTAATTCTAGTTATGTTTTATGAGTGAAATCTTCTGTACAAAATTAAAGCTCATTAATCTTTGAGCGAGCAACATTGGACTATTATGCTATTATCAATCGTTTTTCTTATAAATGATATCAAACAACAATATTATCATTTATTGCAATAATTTTTGAGACAATTTATGATCCAGCAAAATTTATCATGACAGGAATAGTCATATTGACCCCTTACTTTCTATGACTCTTCCAGTTCTACTCTTTCTTTCAGTTTTAGATTCTAATCTCTTTGTTGACTTGAATGGAAGAGCCTGAGCTCACATACACAGTATTTTTTTTTTCTTCTCTGTTCTTAAAACTGCAGAAAACTCAGAAAGGTATTGAAGACTGTAAGGTGAAGTTACCTTTTTCAAATTAAATGTTATTTTAAAAAATAACATTTAAAACTTTATAGCAAAGCAATCATAATAATGATACCACAATATTTTTTATGTGCATTTAAATTAGTTTTTTGAATGTCAGGGCTGTGTAGAGACCTTTGGAGAGGTGGGGGCTTGAAGTTTAACAGGGGCACACTGAACAAGATCTTAAAACACCGTATAACAACATAGCAAAAGCTCATATTAATCAAGAATCTAATATTTCATTGGATCATATTGTATAAACAGACCAGAGGAGAGACTAAGTTTTTTATGAAATAAGCAAATTCACTGCTATTTTACTAAATAAACCTTAATAATAGCCCACTGTTTAATCTCCATAGCAATCTGGCTGCAGAATGATCAAAAAAGCTCAGAGGGGTTAAGTCTAGATATTTTTCAATGAGAGCATCTCAGAGATCTCGAATTCTAAGACTAAGAGATAAATTATTTTCATTAGATTTTGTCATTCAACAAAGTCTTGAGAAACATCCATGCATTTAAGTTTAGTCAATAACTACAACAGTGTTGTAAAAAAAAAAAAAAAAATCAATCAGATTTCTACGGAAGGCCGATATGAATGCTTGAATTGTAACACAGTCCACAGATCTAAAACTTTAGCATTTGTTTATTAAGAAACAATAAGTATTTAACAATACTATTAAATATTATTTATGGTTTTAGCAGAGATAAATAAAAAAATAAATTTTACATTTAGGATTTAATTCTAAAGTTTACTTTGTAAAAGTGCACAGAATCATCTTGATAGTTTGACAACAGTTTTACCATGGCTATAATTTGAAGCTGTAATCTTTTTGTTTGGACTTGGTTTGTTTACAAATACATCACAGCAAATAATAGCCAATAATCAGTGATTGATTGTAAGCTTGGCCAATTAACCTGGTCCCTCTCTCACAGAGTTCACTAAATCTATATTTAAAAAACTGTTAGTGATGTTGATGTTCTTAGTAGGAAGAGAGGGTCCTAAATAAGACTCTGCCTCAGGCCCCATATTACATCAGACCGGCCCTGAAAGAAGAGGTAGTCGCTTTCTCTGCACATCTCTGCTGGATGCGAGAAACAAATAGGGAGTTTTTTTTTATGAGACACTAGCAGGGACAGACCTTCAGGCTTTTTTGTTTCGTGACTATTGGGCCACAGAGACTATATCAGTTGCCTGAGTTTTATTTTTATTTTGTCAATCTGTCAGGAGTCATGTGAACCCACCTGGGTAATGTTAGGTTCAGGTGAAGCAGAGAGCTAACTGTGAGGAGGCGGAACCGGGGCTTTGAGGTGCGTTCTGTAAAAAACTTCAGAGGCCTTCACAGAACATCTGCATTGATCCTGTGTAAACACTGCTGGATGCTATAGATGAACTGAAGCTGCAACTGCTTCTAACTTGTGGATGTGTCAAATTAAAAGGGGCAGTTTAAGAACATTAGCCACACTTTTCAGATTTTTTGTTTTGAAATAGTATTTTTATTTATTTATTTAAAAACCATGCCTTTTCCTCTCTTTCCCTCTTTCCCTAGTTACACACTGTCTGTGTTGTTCAATAATAATAATAATAATAATAAAAAAACATCTTAATAAATTTCCACTAGCAGGTTGTGGTTGTAATGTGACAAAATGAAAAGCACTATAATCAGAACTCCACACTCAGCATTTGATATTAATGGTAGTCCTACAAATGCTCACCCACAGCTTGAAGCCACAGTTCATTTAATCTGATTCTTACAACACAGAACGATAAACCATCATGTTTAGAACAAAGGCATTGACAGTTAAACAAGAGAGCTAATGTCAGTGTTAATTTGTGCTAATGGTTAGAGGGATAGGGAAACATTCAGTATAGCAGAGGGGAAAGGGCAGAATAAAATTAAACTGTTTACACTCATGTTGGTCTTGTCGCTGCCGGTAGAGGACACACTCCATCTTTTGGCAGCTTTGGCATCAACAGGTGGAGACTCTCTATCCTTGTCTGCACTTTGAATCTTCCTGTTCAGGTCCTGAAACATGTCCTGGTGCCGTTTCCGGGTGTGCATTATTTTCTACACAGGAACATTGCACGTTACGTACAAGTTTAATAGAACAGACTACCATCAGTTCTACTTCTGCTTTCTCTGCACATTAAACGTTCCTACTCTGCACAATACTATCATTTCTGGAAAATAAATGTAGTTAAAAAAGGTAGAGGTCTTTAAAACAAACATCAGGCTTTTTGGTATACGTTTTAGAATCTCTATAGGAAGCAAAGAAACTACAATTACCTCAAAGTCAAGCTCTGCATAGCGTGATTTTCGTCTCTGGGGGAAGATGAGACAGAGAGATTAAAATTCCTTCTAGATATTGGAGGCCTTGTGAGCAGAAATACGCAAGTGTTTAATAGTGGAGCTCCACATAAACCGCAATAGAAAAGGTCTTCCTGGGCTTAGGAGGAGTGAGTCATGGGGGGACGAAGCAAGCTCTGTTGTTGGTTATTCAGACCCCGCTGGCACGAGTTTTCAACAAACAGCTTGTGACCGAATGACCTTTAGGTCAGCTGTCCCAGAGAGCTGAAGGAAGGCCTGACCTTCAGGTTGCCTGCTTCCTCTGGCAGCTGCTGCCTCGCACGCCATTATGGAAGTGTGTTTTGCCCCGGAGTGAAAAGATACCAGCAGGCAGATGTCTGAGCCACTTTGTGCTGATCAGTGTGGCGTCTCATCCACACGCTGCTGTCTGTAGTGCGAGCTCACAGAGAACTAACCTTTTTACAGATGCTCCTCTAACATGGGCCCAGAGAAGCTTCTCATTATCAGTGGAAGCAAGCAGCTGTGCATCAGCTCGGAGATGACCGAAGTGATGAAAACATGAAATGTTTTGACAGCAATTGATGATACTTCTAAGTATTGGGATGATTATTAAGTTTAATAATTTCCTCATATGGTGATCATAGCTAGGAATCCTTTCTCAGTCTAACACTGTGTTGGCTAAACACTTACAAGGCACAATAAATTAATCCAGAAAGCAACTCTAGAACTTAATTGTTCCTTCAGCTGCTTGTATTAATGTTTAGTTTATTCATGACTAATGCAGAAGAAACAACATCCTGGTTTAAGTTAAATGCTAATTTCTCTGGATTATGAGGCAAAAAAAAGAGAAAATGTGATGAATGGATGATATGTACAGTGTTTACATTCCTAATCTTGCATATTATCATATTTTATTAAACTAACCCCATCAGACCAGCAGAATTATTCTGAACACCAAGCACTCCAAGCATTTGGGCCACTGAGCGCATCTGAAGATTTTACATTTAGTCATTCAAAAGGTTTGACAATAAAAATATAAAAACAATATGTCATTTCCACATTCATGTGTGTTCAGTCAGGATTTCAGTATAATGTGCTGATTATATGACTTCCTCATTAAGTACATGTCTTTTCTTTCAATAGAACTGATATTTCATCACATTTACATGTCTAGCTGGATTCAAAGGAATACATAAATCCGCTGGTCCTTACAAGGTTCCTAAAGCCAGTTCAATCTCAGAAGTAGAAGAACATCCACAAGATGTCATTATTGTTCCAGGGCTGCTTCATATTTAGCTCCATCTATTTTTGAATCAAGTCCAACCAGCATGATACTCCCACCACCATGTTTCAACCTGTGGGGGAGAGGTAACTATTTAATAGAGATTGGGATTTTTTTTAATGATAAATTATTTGCAGAAAATGTGCTTGTTTGCAAAAAAACATGAAGGGATGTATCCCTTCAGGTGTTACATCCCTAAGGACATGAGGAGGACTGCAGATGTTAGCTAAAACTGTTTCTATTGCACTTATTAGTGCATATCAAAGAGTATAAGCTGTTTGAACTATTAAAAAAAACGTTTGGAGAGCAGGTCTCAAGTATCCAAAGGTTTGATCAACCTCCTGGAGATTCTGGTCCTTAACCTCCAGAATAACCAGAAAGAGATGTACCTAACAGGAATGTTGCTCCATCAAGCCTATGTGTTGTAGCCACCTGTCTAACTCTGGATGAACAGAACCTCTGAATGTTCTGTGACTTTACAGACACATTTGAAGAAAACCTCACAAACACTAACAGAACAGGGAGCAACGTCTGAATGACCAGAAGTAAAGAATAGACTGCCACAGCTGGTCTCTCCTATCTTTACAACAGATATAAAGCAGTTCATAATAAATAACATTTTCAAGCATATACTGTTTGAAAACAGTACATGCTTGAAAACCCCTGAAGGAGCTTGAACTGTCAGGGATTCTGGGTTTCCCAAAGTAATAAATAGAACTTCATGTCTGTACGGCTGGAACTAAAATCATATTCCCTGTTTGTGCCACAGTCTTGATTCTGAAAGGACTTCCAGGTGATAGGTTTGCAACACACCTGCATATGGAAATGATAGATTATTGCCTCCTTTGAAGAATTCTATTACATCTGTCTACATTGGATGGCTGGTTGTTGTTTTGATGGGACTTGCATTGTTCTTATGAGTAATTAAGTTAGCACTTAATAACAAAATAATAAAAAATTTCCCACTATTTCCAAAACTGGGAAGTCGTACTTAAAATGTAAGTTAGATCACACAACTTTCTCAATAAATCTGAAATTTAACTGAGAAGACAAGCAACTATAATGTCCAATCTATTTTTCATTATTTACTCTGTTATGCTGTTCAAGAAACAAAATCTTACTAAGTAACTTTGGAATTGTTTCAAGCGCAAATATCTAAGTACACTTGAAATAAAACTAACTTACAAGTAACTTTTCAGCAATTTGAAATCAATAATTCTTTAAAGGTACTATTTCTACTGGAAACTATAACATGGGGAAAATATCTTGTTAGATGTTATGTTTTTGCAGTGAATAATACACCTATTTCATTTACACAAGGTGTTGCACATGTTGTGGAAATGGAGATTATCGTTATTTTGTACACGGTGAAATATATGAAAAAGTTTAATTACTACAATCTTAAGTCTTACAGGAAGTGGAAATAAATTTGTTCTCTGAGTCAGTCTGAAATCTATTATCCAGGACTGGTGGTCTTACCTCCAATGAGCTCATGGACAGTGTGGAGACGGTTTCACTCTTGGACATCACCCCAGAGTTGCCAGAGTCGCCTGCATCTGCCAAGCTGCTTGTTGTCTGCGGGTCTCTGGGCATGTTGTGCAGTTTGTGAGCTGGTGAGTCTCTTTCAGTACACGACACACTGACCTGGTCAGTAGGAAGGCTCTTGAGCCCAAAGCCAGGGACTGGCTCTCCAGCAGTAGAGTTCGCCAAATGGATGAGCCTGCTCTGAGGGAGCTGTTCCATGGTGATGTTATACTTGCTGGTCTGATCATCTTTCCCCTTGGTGGCCTTCAGAGTACCTGTGTTGTTAGCTGGTAGGATGATGTACCCTGGGCCTTTGCCAGTACTGTCTGAGCTGCTGCCCTCCCCATTCCCTCGGGGCAGTTCCCCATCCAGCTGCTTGAAGAGCTCGCCATCACAGATGTAGATGGATTTGGCGCCAGGGAGCTCGGTGCTGATCCCCTTTGCAGCACCTTTCTCCCGGCGCAGAGTGAGGGTGTGGCTGGAGTAGTCGGCCACATTCTGGAGGTGAACCTTGGTCATGCTGGCTGGCATTGTGTTAAAGTTGGATCCTTTCTGAAGGGTGAGAGTCCCGGCAGAAGCCTTGTCTTCCCCCTGGAAAGATGAGCGCTTCGTTGTGCCTGGAGGCCAAACAGAAATGAAAGATAAACTTTCCCACCAATGCTTAAATGATCAATGAACCTTCATCACATTCCACCAAAAAAAGAGTTAAAAAATTAAGTTTTATATTACATAAATTAAATACAGAAGATAAAATGGTAAAAGTCTTTATTATTGTGTATCAATATTGTTTTGTTCATCTTTGGGCTTTGACTGGGACACTCCTACACATTCCCATGCATTCGGTTGTGTCCTGCTCTGTCTCAGTTTTGATCCTCTAAAAGGTCCAGAACTTAGTATAGTAACTCTTCCCAGTTGCTTCTCCTGAAGAAGCAAAATGGTGGTGACAGCATAATGCTGTCACCTATGTTTTCCCATAGGGACGTTATATTCTAGGTGATGTATATAGTAGATTTCACATTGCAATTTATATCTCAGAAGAAGCAGCTCAACTCTGATCCCATCATGAGGAAAGCAGGATCTTCTACATTTGCAGGATTGTCTCCATAACTTGCGGAAAACTGCAGACTTCATATCAAGGTTTCCAGTTTGATTTCCCTCTTTTTACTATTTCAATAACAGCCAGATTTATGCAGTGTACTGAGATGAGCTGTGAATTGCAGTAGCTCCTCCAGAGTTACCACCAGCTGATCAACACATCAACCAGTTCTGAAGTCCTTCCACGAGCTACCTCTCAGAAAATATACTCTAAAATACTTTTGTTAGTTTATAAATCATCAAATCAAATGGTTTAGCACCACAATACACGAATACTGCTGCTGTTGTATCAATCTTCCAGACCTCTCAAGTTCTGGTTCCAGGGAGTCGAGAAGCAGCATTCAGCTTCTATCCATCACAAATCTGGAACAAACTTCCAGAAAACTGCAAAACAGCTGAAATGCTGAGTTCCTTTGAATCTAGACTAAAAGCCTACACGTTTTTGCCCATTTCTCGTCCATTTCTTCTGTTTGCTCCTCTCTAAGATAAACATTTTAGACCAGCAGGAAATCCTTGCTTAATCTTGCTTTCTTCTGTTATTAAAGCTTTGCTTTATTAAAATCATCTTCTGCTGCTTACTCCTTCTCCAAACAATGCAGTTAGAATGTATTTTGTCACAGGCTATATGATTTTAAGTAAACAGCATAAAATATTCTTAGCATTTTGCAACATGGGGTATTTAATAAAACATTTAGATTGCTAAAATACCTTATACAAACAAAATTTTCAAAAATCAGTCTCTGTGGTCCCTCTTCCTGTTTTACATCTCAAAAGAAAAACAAAAACAGCAATCTTGTCTCTTGTTACTTTCCCATCAGGTTTTCTCTGGAGCTCAGTAGCTTTTCTGCTCCAGATGCTGCTCCTAGTATCACGTCTAACATCAAAATCAGACTCCTGATCCCAGCAGATTTAAGAGTCCATATCTGACGCAACGCTGACAGAAGGAACTTCATTATACAGCAGCACATTAGGAGAGACTCAGGCGGCCATGTTTATCTGCATTTAACTGCTCAGCACATGTCCAATCCACTTCCATTCGCCATGATTTAACTGTGGCACACAGCAGTCAAACTGGATCTCTTGTTGAAAAACTTCCCTGAGAAAAGGAAGTTATTATGACTGTTAGACACAATTACATCTGTTCCAACAACACAGAGGAACCTGCAGCAGTCAAAACAGACAGATGAGCCACACATGAACTGCTGTCCCTAAAGCGGAATAAAAGACAAACAACAAATTAAACATATCAAACAGGAAACTTACCGGATCTGCAAGCCATATCCACGTCTTTTTCAAAGTCAGTCTGAGGATAGAAAATAGCACATGTACAGACTGTGAATATCAGTCAGCTTCTCGGAAAGAACAAAAAAACGAGAAGGCTGATGCTTACCATGAGCTGAGCATGCCCATTTTGAAAAGATCCACCTGAATCTCCATTAGTGTCTTCCTGCCGATCCACCACTCGGCACTTTACCGCTTCCTGAACCTGTAGAAAACCATGGGAGCAGAGGTCACTCAAAACAGGACAAATGCTAGCAGCACAGATACAGAGAGACAGGTGGGAGATTTTAAAAACTGAGCCACAAACCACACCCTAAACCTTCAAGTTTAGATAACAAAACATTCTGTCATTTAGGTCCAGATTTAATGTGGAATATTTGCAGGGATTGTTCAGTTCACCTCTATGAACTTTCTGTGCCATGTGACCTACTGTAACCAGACAACTATCAGTGTAGAGCACAGGTGTCAAATTCCAGTCTTCAAGAGCCAGTGTCCTGCAGTTTTTAGATGTGCCACAGGCACAAAACGCTGGAATGAAATGGCTTATTTACATCCTTCTTGTGTAGATAAGTTTTTCTCCAGCGTCTTGCTAATGACCTAATTATTCTATTCAGGTGTGGTGCAGCAGAGGCACATCTAAAAGTTCCAGGACATCAGCCCTTGAGGACTAGAATTTGACACCCTGGTGGGGTAGAGAGTGCTGCTGAAACACTAGTCATTCATTCTGTGAAGAACACTAGCTTTTTCAAAACCAAAAGCTAGTGTTTATGAAGCATAAAAACACTTTTTCTATAGTGTGTTACTGCATGTTAAAGCTACTGTGGTTTCAACAATGAATTTTAATGAAGTACACACACTTAAATCTACTAACTAAAGTCTGCTAGTGGTTCAGTTCAGATCTCAGACTGATGACAGACCTCAAAATACAGTAATATTGTCTTTCACAAATATTACATTAGCAATAGCATAATCGTTTGGCTTAAACCAAGCCAAACTGAAGCTAACTTCCACTAAGTACAATGGGTAGCCATGTTGGGTACCTCTCTGCGCAGGATGCAGTGAACCATTACAATAACAAAACCTTCCAGAGAATCAAACACAGCGAAAAGAATCTGGAAGAGGGCAGAACGCCGGTCAGTGATGGCCAGGACAGCAGACATCCATGTGAGGGCCAAGAGAGGCAAAACCACACAGGAGCTCCACAGTGACGCCCTGCAGGACATGAAGAGAATTACAGTCACGGTGTGCTGTCTATGCAAAGCAAAAGCTAGAACTACTGTACTTAGGTTTTCTACCTAATGTACTACTGACATTTTATTACATAGTTAAGATTAGTTTGTGTTAACAAAGAACAGTGTAACAAACAAAAAAATATTGAAATAAATAAGATTACTCTCTTTTTCAAAGGTAAAACAGGAAATACAATGAATAACAATATTTTGTTCTTCAGTAACTATCTAGGCTGTAAATACAAGTTCTTACCCATGCAAAAATATATTCAATTGTTTAGCTACGACATCATCCATCATGTACTGTATAAGTGTATAAATAAATATATGTTTCTAAATTACATTTCTTACATGCATGTATATTTAAGATAGTATAGTCAAACCATATAGGATCTAGTGCCACAGGAAAGAGAGGGAAGGAGCAAGGGTTTAGGATGGAGGTCAAAATAAAACTTGTGGAATGAGGCTGAAACAGAATGTAAAGACAAACACAGGAGGCAAAGCAGGACAGAGAAAGAGTGTCTGAGTTGAGGAAGTGTTGTTCCTGCCTTTCACTGCTTTTTCTGACTGATCCCATTTGTTCTAATGCGAGTATTCGAGATAAACTGTTCTTAGTATGTGTTCGGAAATGAACTGAGAATAATCAGCACTTTCACTTTTAATTACATAATATCCAGAGGTGGAAAAAGTACTCAGCTAACAGTGTATCACATGCAGTGACAGCAGAATTTTTCTAATTAATCTATAGCAAAGCAAAGGCAACTAGAGGGAAAAAGGCCTGATAATCCAAATAACTGCTCATATCATTCTAATCAGCTGACAGTTTGGACTTAGGTAGGTAAATTCATTATCTCTATTTTATATATTTTCAATTACAACTAATTACACATGTCTATATGTTTTCTGTGGAGTATTTCTATGATTTTACTGTCTGCCCATTAGTGTTAACCAAGAAAAAACAAAGGTAAAAAAATAAAAAATAAATCAAGCTCAACCAATTGAAATTTGTGAGCGAATAAAACTTTAAGCTGTCTCCAATTCATGACACTTAAGAATAAAGAGCACACAAAAAGAAAAGAGGACAGTATGATGTATGCACTGTGTGAATTTATTAATAGCAATAGCTCAACTTTTTATGTTATTGTTATATGTAACAAGTCTAGCCTGTAGGACAAAATATTACATTACAAGTCTTTTAAGGTGATGAGATTCTCATCTGACAAAGTTCAGTCTACTGTGAAGTAATATTTGATATAGATATGTATACATTTATAAACAACAGCTAACTGTTTGGACACACGTTCCCATCCAAAGTGATTTTAAATTTACCTTTTGTAACTTGAATACAAAACAAAAAAAGTTTTATAAATGTAGATATGAACAATGGTCATGAAAGGTCAGGTGAGCAATTTTATGTCAGTGTAAACTTGGAGTGAGGCAAAGAAAATCAACTTATAGTAGAGAATTATTAGTTAAACCATTGTTGTTAAACCATCCATCCATCCATCCATCCATCCATCCATCCATCCATCCATCCATCCATCCATCCATCCATCCATCCATCCATCCATCCATCCATCCATCCATCCATCCATCCATCCATCCATCCATCCATCCATCCATCCATCCATCCATCCATCCATCCATCCATCCATCCATCCATCCATCCATCCATCCATCATCCATCCATCCATCCATCCATCCATCCATCCATCCATCCATCCATCCATCCATCCATCCATCCATCCATCCATCCATCCATCCATCCATCCATCCATCCATCCATCCATCCATCCATCCATCCATCCATCCATCCATCCATCCATCCATCCATCCATCCATCCATCCATCCATCCATCCATCCATCCATCCATCCATCCATCCATCCATCCATCCATCCATCCATCCATCCATCCCATCCATCCATCCATCCATCCATCCATCCATCCATCCATCCATCCATCCATCCATCCATCCATCCATCCATCCATCCATCCATCCATCCATCCATCCATCCATCCACCATCCATCCATCCATCCATCCATCCATCCATCCATCCATCCATCCATCCATCCATCCATCCATCCATCCATCCATCCATCCATCCATCCATCCATCCATCCATCATCCATCCATCCATCCATCCATCCATCCATCCATCCATCCATCCATCCATCCATCCATCCATCCATCCATCCATCCATCCATCCATCATCCATCCATCCATCCATCCATCCATCCATCCATCCATCATCCATCCATCCATCCATCCATCCATCCATCCATCCATCCATCCATCCATCCATCCATCCATCATCCATCCATCCATCCATCCATCCATCCATCCATCCATCCATCCATCCATCCATCCATCCATCCATCCATCCATCCATCCATCCATCCATCCATCCATCCATCCATCCATCCATCCACCATCCATCCATCCATCCATCCATCCATCCATCCATCCATCCATCCATCCATCCCTTACAGAGTTTTATAAGGGCTGATACCTATCTTCATGATCATTGTGGTATGTCCTGGACAGGTTGACCATCCAAGTTATAATAAATTATATCAGATATTTTTCCTGTTCCTTAAAAATTTACAACAAAGATAAAAGAAGACTGCAGGAAAGTCTAAAGCAGAAGTCCACAAACTCGGTCCTCGAGGGCCAGCGTCCTGCACGTTTTAGTTCTCTCCCTGGTGGTAGCAACAACTTTTCAGCATGTCAATGTTCTTCTTGGGACTTCTAATGAGCCATCATTTGATCCAGGTGTGTTAAACCAGGGAGAAAATTAAAAGATGCGGTATGCTGGGCGTCGAGGACTGACTTTGGGCACTTCTGGTCTAAAGGCTCCAGAAGGCTGTGACATTTAAGTAGCCTAAATGATATAGAAGATTTTAAAAGCAGAAATTAAAATTGTAAACTCCTCTGTTGGCAGGATGAAGAAAACTGGAAAAAATAAATGAAGCATCTAGAATAAATCTTTTTAAAGATGATGGTGTTTGTGATACGTAATCTAAGTGTGAGCTTAGTTTGACATTACTGACTGTGAACAATGCTTCCACATATAGAAATATACTATTACCAGTTTTTTCTCTTGTATTGTGAACTGATAAAACGTATGCAAAGCTGTTATCAATAAAAAATAAATAGACAAGTTTTAAATGATTCAACTTTAAATATATGGCATTCTATCTCAGAATGCCATATATTTCTCCAGAAGTATACAAATGAAGTATTTACAGAATATACTGCATAAGGTTTCAGAGTGGGATGAGAAAGTTTTTCAGTATAATCTCAGGAGTCAGGTAGGGTTCCATTTCATGACTGGTTTTGTTCCCAATTACTTCAATCCTAATACACATGAAAGCAGGAAGTTCATCCTTAGAATAAACAAAGCAGCTTATTACCCTGGCAGTGTGACAAGTAACGGACACAAAACTAGATATGGACTGTAGAATCGGAGAGGCGGCAGCAGTGCTACAAGAGCTCCTTATATGAAGTCTCTGCCACTATGCTTTGTCAAGCTGTGTCTGTGGAATTCTATTGTCCTGTCAGCTGCAATTTATGTCCCTGACACTTGAAAAAGTACATAACTAATAAACAAATGAATTATTTATTTATTTTTTTTGTTTTTGCTGATGAAGCATGTAAAGATTAAGTTCGACAGGATAAGTATTGCGACTTGCTAATCATTGCCTTCAAACAATGTGAAGTCATACAACAGAGACCGACTCTAATGAGACAGAACACAGGCACCATCCAAAAAAATGTCTCAAAGCTCATGGAGCCACACAAGCAGTGAAGAAATGGAGAACTGAAAGATGTTTGCCATCCAAAGTGTAATTCAGCAAACAAGGACTTTAGTCAAGGTAAGTCGACAAGAATTTTGGAGATACTCACTCTGGAGTTGTTTAACACTTTTAGTTATGCTTTTTTTTATTTTTTTGTACACATGGTGATAAATCTCTAATCAGCTGATGACATTTTTCAATTATTTGACTACTTTATTCCTTGCTTTTGTTTCTAGTTGCATTTTGAAGCTCAAGACATACAGTTCTGAGAAAAACGTAATTTTTTTCTCAGTTTTACAATATTAATCAGAACTATTTTTATATTTAGTTCATTTTTATATACATATTTACTTATGGTTGCTTTTCTGGACAATGGAAGCCAAAATAAAATTTGATTGAAAAGGTGTCCAAACGTTTGACTGTTGGTTCTATTTGTATATATGAACCAGCTTTTATCTGGAGATTTATGTTTTAACTCTAAGTTCTTATTTGCATTGAAAAACTTGGAACGTTGATATTTGACACATTCACATAAATTTGACAAAGAAAATGTCTGTTGCTTATGAGTTGCCAGCATGTCAGCATACAAACTATGAGGTGAAATGATGCATTGTAATTGTTAAGGCACGCCATATCAGACAAAAAAAATTTGCTATTTTGGGATATGTGTGGCTTCTAGCATTGAATACTTCAGACAGAAGTGGAAAACCAAACAGCTAACTCATCTAGTCAAAACAAGATTTTATGCCAGAAAAGCTAATATTGGAAAATTATTTTCAAAATAAGAGAGTGATCAATCGAGGCACTTACGGATCACAGCAAGGCGCGCACACACAAATAATTACTGTGTGTGGCTGGCCTCTCTGCAAACATGGCCTCCTTATTGACAGCTTTGTGATTCTTATGAGACAAACATACACACACACACATACACACTTTCATTCAATCATTTCACACAGAAGAATAGGCAATTACATCACAAAATTATGTTAACAGTTTTTGTATGAGAAACATATCAAGAGCCTGACTGCAAGAGCATTATGGGAGGGAAAAAATGGCAAAAGGATAAAGACAGAAAACGAATCAAGTGAGAAAGAACGGCATACAGTAGAGGAGAGAACAGAGAGTTAAGGTAAAATAATTAGCGGGACTAACATGGCGTTACTGGTAGCTGTGGTGGAAACGTCAGCCGAAGAGATAACTCCGCACTTGGCACATTTGAGCGTCATATTGTACAGTGGCACTGTCATCTGACTGCAAAGTCAAATTAACACGCTGTAACATACACAAACAGATACAAATGCTCCTACACGCAGACTCACAAAACAGGTGCGCAAATGAGCACACGCAGGACACTAGACACATACACACGCATTAAGTCACAGTGTTCTCGCACAGTCTCTCTCTCAGGGCTATAGATTTGGATGAGGTTTTGTGTTTCAGTGTGTTTAGATGTGAGTCTCAATGGGACAGGGTAAGTGGGACAGGTCATGGCCCCTACTGGATGTCTTCTTTTCTTTTCTTTGTTTACCAAAATAAATAAATAGAAAAATAAATAAGACTTTATGTGATTTTTTTTTCTATATGAAGCCAATATATTGGTAATATATTATAAACTCATCCAGCATGTCGCTCTCTATTGCTTTGATTCTGGTTGTATCCTTGATAATCTTTAATTCAAAGGCTTCCAATAAACCCATCCAAAGTCGAAACCACAAAACAATCTTGACAGCTCAACTAACTTCATCACAAACTACACATTTCCTCCGTTAAACTTAAGGCTTTAAAAAAATAACTGATTTCATTCGCACTGTTGGCAAAACCAGCTTCAATTTAAGTTAGCTGGTTAGAAAGTGAATCCCCAGAAATATTGGATACACCTTTTAAGAAATGCTTGGAACTTAACATTCTAATAGTTCAAATGCCAATTATACCCTAATATGCATTAATACACACAGATGGAGACCATCTTAGAACTGCTGCAGAAGCTAACATCTACAGCAGATATCAAACTCATTTTCAGGTTGGGTCATATCAAAATTATACATTTCTTCAAAGGACCAGTCTGCATTGATAAAACCTGTTAACATCAGTCTGTGATTCAGATACTTTTAGAGAAGGCCTTGCAGGCCCTGACGGCCCACCACTGGTTTAATTATATTTTGTCCATGAATACGTATTAAGTAATTACAAATGGTCTGTCCACTTCCTTGCATTGCTAGTCCCCTGGTTGCGCTACTTCCAGACGTGTATTTCATATTTAAGCATTTAACCAATCACATTTCAGCCGCTATTTGTTGCCAGGGTCAAAGAAATCTGCCTTGAGGCCTTCACAATCAGTTCTGGGGCCCCTGTAGCATAAAATAAATGTCGCTTCAACCAATCAGATTTTGAGTTAATGGCACCAAGGCCCTCTAGCAGGCGTAAGGAAATGTCAGCGTATTCACACGATTTGATTGGATAGTCCAAGAGTGTACTAGCCAGAGCTAGCAAACTGCATCTATAGCGAGCTGCACAAAGCAGATATTGTTGTGTTGTTTAATAGCTGTTTTGTCAACCCACAATGGGTGAAGGAGGAGAAGAAATGGATTTGGTTGGAGATTTACTGTTAAAGCGTTTCAAGAAAAGCTGGACATTGTGAAGCAAGGTCGGCGAACTCAGAAGCTAGCAAGCCTGTCACAACCGAGAAAAGGATTTGTCCGCCACTTTTTTTGTCTACTAACTACGAGCGGTACCAGGAACGCTGTAAATTGTATTGCTGGGAGTAATTGTTATTTGCTTTCTTCATGGAACTGAAATGAACGGATAATCTTCTTCAGGAAAAAAAGGAGGACGGATTTTGTGAACAAATAATCAGAATTTTTGGTGAGTAAAATCTTGCTATATTCCTAAATAATGCAATTTTATCAGATTATTTTCTATGCCTTTTTTATATGTGTCACAGCTGTACCTGCAGTGGAAGTTTTATAGCCAGAAAGTAGTTATTGAAGGTTGGATTGGTTCAAACGGAGCACTACTGAAGGCCGAGGTGCAAAATACACGGCCCGCTACTGTGTTAAACTGCCAAAATATCCATATAAAATATCCAAACTGCTAAAATATGTTTAGCAGTTTAAAATATGGCCACTCTTTGCAACATAGGCCTTATTCCTCGCGGGTTCGACTCCTGGTCCCGGCGACCTTTGCCGCATGTCTCCCCCCCCCCCCCCCCCCACCCCCCCATCCCCTTTTCCTGTCTGCCTACTGTCAAAAAAAAAAAAAGGAGCCACTCGCGCCACAAAAACTCTTCGGAGAAAAAATTAATAAATAATTTCAAACGTATTTTCACATTAATGTAATTTGCCAGCAAACCAATAAAAACTACTTTGGTTTGATTGATGAAGTAAACCTCGGCAGCCTCGAGAGCCTAGAGGAACATATAAAAAGCTATGGGTTTATGATCTAAGGTTTTCTCATTTCCACTGTTGGGGGTTCAGCCAACCAGAGGCAAGAAAAATAAGTATAGCTCCTGGATTCACTGCTAATGCCAGTAGTGTTTCAAGCAGCATCATGCTAATTATTCCAGCTTCCCAAGCTTCATTTTCTTCTGAATATTCTAGATTCACTATGGATCTAGAATATAAGGATTATTAAAAAATATATGCAAATAAGCAGACTTTCCACAAATAACTTGAAGTTATGATCAACAGAAAAATCTGGAAATATGAGAATTTGCCAATTGTGACCCTAAATTTCTCACTGATAATAGCACTTCGGATTAAACTTTTTGTTTTTGTTTGACAGTCAAAAGTTAGTAAAGGAGGAGGACAGAGGTCACATCATGTATAGAGTTGATGACAAAAGCATAGCAGACCATCGCGGACTGACATGTGATTGCCAGACTGCTCAACAACTGCAAATTTACACATATGATGCATTGTCAAGCAATATTATTTTCATAATAGGTGTGCTGTGTGTGCACATTTCAGGGGTGCAGATTCCTCACACTGGAGTTTGATGGCAGTTGCCACTGTAAATTATAGTGTAAACTACCAGAAAAAAGAAAAAATGGATCTCTGCTAAAAATTATATTAGGCTAAATTTTTATCTGAAGACTGTGGCTATGGTCTTTCTGTTTTAATGTTTAAAACAGAAAGAGCATCAGCCAGTCACATGTGCAAGGTGTCATTACAGGTTTATGTAAAACCCAATGTACTGTAAGTGAAAACATCCAAACAGTATTTAATTAGACCCCTTCTGCTCTTCTGGAGGATGCTTTCCATCCAATGCACTTTAAGGCCGGCATGCACTGCTATCTTCTTTAGCTTCATAAGCTAAAGTACACAGTCCACTGAGTTTATTGGTCTCCTGTCAAGCGTCACATTCTTAACTTGGTCTTTCATTTAAAAATAACATTCTATTTACAGGGCTGTGAAATCAGACACAGTTCCTGTGTCAATTGAAATTATTCTACTTCTATCAACAAAAAATATTTTACAGATATAATTGTTCTTCAGTGAAATATTTTTAGAATCTCACAACTCAGGATAATGCTGATTGCAGGCTGCATGGAGGCCAAGTATGATACTGCTGCAGACCTTCAAGAAAAAAAAAAAGGAAAAACTTATTGTCCACCAGAGACTCGTGAACATGTTTGAAATTTCATTCATCAATTATTTACAGGATGAAGGCTTTAGCACTGTTCGTCATCCATGTGTACACGCAACTCGGTTTGCTGCAGCTGTGTTGATAGTGGAGGAACAACTTACCATCCCAGGACAACCACCATCATCAGGGGCCATGCTAACTAGCTTTATATTTTGTGACAGGGTCTGCTGGGCAGAAGAATTTGCAGGGCAGGAGCAAGCAATGGGGAGGGTGTGAGCAGCATGTACATGAGGATGAATGACAGCACTAAGACCCTCCTCCTGACTGATTGGCTGTTTCTGCACAAGCATGTAGGGACATAGTTGCAGAAGGCAGTAGGAACACAGGAAAGAGGCAGAGGAGCTTGACTTTTTCACTGGTTATTTGTTTCATATTACTCTGTCAGGATATAGTGACATATTAAAAAATATATAAGAAACAAATAAGTCTAATTTTAGCGTGTTTTCTTTATTTGAGTCATCCATTTAGATGAATATCAATCATCAAGTTAAATAGCACATGCTTACAGGGGATACTTATAATTTGTTTGTCTGTTTGAATCCAATATAAAAATGACTAAATCAGAGATTCTGATGATCACTGATGAGACATGTTGTCTGGACTATATATAATGGAAAATCTCAACTGGATTTATGAGCTGTCATGTGATCTGTAGTATGATCCGAAGGCATCACGTTCACAAATTCTAACTATATCAATAATGCTACTGTAAGACTGGTTCAGAGAACAAAATGACCAATCTTGAAAGATAATAAACAAATGTCTTACAAGATAGACTTTCACTACACAATAATTAGAATTGAGGAAATCTATATTTTGCAATGGGAAAACCGTAACAAAAAAAAATAAAAACAATATTTTTTCTTTAGAAATACCATTTTTAACATAAGAACAAGTTAGTTGTTAAACATACACTAGAGGTCCTGCTATTAAAAAGCTATTTGAGCTTTTTAAGCAACACAGTTTCTCTGAACTGAAGAATACACCAGCAAAATGTGTTTGGCTGAGACTTAATGTTTAATAAAACATGACACCTGATTACTTTGATATAGTATTTACTAATCCAAAAAAAGATCTTCATCTATACACATAACATAACAAAAGAAGTTAGGCTAAACTAAATGGGAGGATAGCTTAAAAAAACATCACCTGCTGCAACAACAGCTGAATACAAAGTTTGTGGATAAAAGTGTTTAAGTTGTTTGTTGAGAAAGAAACATGTTATCCTTTCATTGCCTGGACATCTCCTTTCATATTTAACTTGATAATGGATTTTAAATTCAATGTTCAGGCACAGTGAGAGCTGACCTCATGATGCAGATAGCGCTGTGCACCCAGTAGGTAGTAGGGGGGCTTCAATGACCTTCACTGAGTTTGATTCTTCACTAACAGTTGACTGATGTTTGCCTGGTCACTATGCCACAGAATAAACAAGAAACAAATTGTTTAATTTTTAACATTTTGTTCCATATTTGAGGTCAGGATCACTATTCGATTTATCATTGCAATCAGGCTGCAACATTGAGATTCCCAGCTTAATATGCTAGATCTTTTATTCATCAGGCTTTTTTTCTGTGGAACCAGCACCCAGTTTTAGTCCACGAGGC